TTCAATCATTTAATATATGGTTGATGAACTGCCAACTAATCTAAGCCTTCACCAAATTTCTTGGACTTTGAAGTGTTAATGGATAAAATTCAACATCTAATAAAGATGAAAATATAGACCAATTTATAAGGATTTGGACAACTCCTCTTAACAAGGTTAATGTTTTAAGATGAAATCTCAAGTTTTTACATGGTATCAGAGACCATTAAACTCTAATAAGTAATTCCATCCTATTAAAACTCAAAAAAATGAGCACGCAAATTTTAAGATTGATTTGCTCAAACGAGCCACCATCTTGTAGGGACATGTTAAGGGATAAAATCTCACATCTAATAAAGATGAAAATATAGAGCAATTTATACGAATCTGGACTACTCCACTTAATAAGATTGACCTTTTAAAATGGAACGTCAAGTCCTTACACGAAGTTAAATTGTTGGGCTAATAAAATTAGTTGACACCTTATAATTCATATCTAAGAATTCCTTTTTCCATCAAAAGTGACAAATGTTTTAGGCTTGAAATTTTTTTAGGAAATGATATAACAAAAAGAATAATTAATCCGTTTCGTGTAATGATTTTTTCAACAGTTCTAGTTGGATGGAAATCGAGAATTAGGTTGAAAATTTACTGATTTTTCAATTCTACGTATAGCAATGATGTGTCACTTGAAAATAATCTCAAAAGTCACGCCTAAAGAGTACCTAAAAAGAGGTATGGTTGATAAGAATTATGGTTAGATTACCTTTAATACAAAATTAAACGGGTGTTCGTCCTCCTTGATCCTTTTTCTGTTTTTCATGTCATATTTGTATAAATTCTACCTCGCTTATATATAAAAACATTAACCAACATATATAAATTTGAACTACTGCTCTTAATAAAGTTGATTTTTTAATATAAATATCAAATCTTAACATCATGTTCTAAACTTTGTAAATATGAGCTAACAACACTGACATTCCACTTATTTCTTTCATCGCCAACTTTTCATCATGTACATTGTAAATTTGGCGTCGATTCAAGTTCGATTAAATTACTCATATGACTTTACATTTAAATGAATTTATCATTTAATATCAGTAATGATAAATAACATTACTCTCCAAATTAACATGAAATACAAAATCAAGCAATCTATCAAACAGTTGGAAAAATAGAATGGCATAACAAAAAGAATATGAAGAAAATTAATTTACAACCAATTGGGAATGAATAACACCTAAAGATGGGCAACAAACTTTACATTTATCTCGAAGGGCGAAAATTAGCTTTTTCGTACAAGAGACAAGTCACTCTACTCAGTTCAAGAAAACATGTAGTCTACAAAAGCTTCCAAATTGTGAATACACACCAGATGTGCTTTGAATGTAGTTTTAACTCAATAGCTTGCACAGGATACAAATCAACAAAATTGGAAGCTATTCAGCTTTAGTCCCCTGATAAGAATACATCACATGCAAAAAGCCTGACGACGGCAAAACTAAAATACATACTCCATAAAATGATTTCTAACAGGTTAGTATATCTAATGTTCACTATTACCAGACACGATTCTAAGATCAAGAATCCTTCTCTTTTCCTGCTAGGAGGCGGGGGGGTCCAAATTCATTTGCTCTGGAATCGGTAGCATGGATTCCACTTGATTTGTACCTTGCAAAATGGTATCCATTTCACCATTCACAGGTACAATGGAGTCCGTTTGGTTGGTTTTTGTCAAGGAAGGATCACTTGGACCTATTGCTTGTTGGGCAGAGTGCATTTGATTCGTTAATGTTGAATCAGAAATTCTTTTATCTATTACAGGCAGGGAAGAATCCATTTCATCTGTTGTAGCCACTGCTGTTGTATGTACAGGATTCTTCTGCTCTAAGTTTCCTTTGGTCATCTCATAATCATATAGGAGAACCATGAACTCGTTGAGCAACCTTTGAACTTCTCTATTTGATGCCATAGCTGGAAGAATATCTTCTCGAAGGAGCTTGTGCTTGTTCATTCCCTGTGAAGACCCAAGTTATAAACTGTCAGTAGTCGAACAATAAAAAATCACATAAAAGAATAACAGTAAAAAGGACACAGCAACCAAGACATGGGCAACCCAACAACAAACTTTTGGAAGAATGCACGTCAAGAGAAACATAAATACTACTTTAAACACCTACAAGAATTAAGGAAGAGTACAGAAAGGCCTTACGAGTACACAAGGGTCCCATGCTGCTGTCTTCACATCAGATGATGGAGCTTCAGTCATCCCAATAGGAGGTCCAAGAAAGCTCTCACAAACTTCTCGCAGACGGTACTCGTCTGCCTCCCTACATATTGGAGAACATAAAAGGGTATCATATTACAAATATAATTACCAATTACAAACGAGAAAACCAAATATTTTCACTACTTTAATATCATTACAACGCGTAAATGGACAACCTTACAATACTGTACATATTCAATCAAGAACACCGGAGAAAAGGGCATCAAACATTCATTAATTTGCATAAAATACTGAAATTTGCTTGAGAGAATCTCAAGAATTTTATTAATGCTCAAAGGCTAGCCCTAGATGGACTCGTTTATACAAAACGAAAATAAGCTCTATGCAAGAACTTCGAAAAACTAACAAAAATAAAACCCTAACTTTTGGATAATTTATAAAAGGTCCTTTAGACCCCATAAATGGAGCCTGCCAAAAATGGCAAGGGGTGAAAGTTTTCACTCAAAGTTGTTGCTTGAAAAATTGGAGTCTTTCGACCAAATACAACTCCATTGACCAGAAATTAGGTTGTTGACAACAATTGGGCTAAAAATTTATTTTGTGCCTTAAGATGTTCCTAATAGCAACATTGTTCCACTCTTTGTAGATTGGACCGTCCTTCTCAAGGTACATGAAATTCGCTCTTGAATTTGGAGTACCTTTATCATCAAATGTTGTCAATGTGAGAAGCATTAGAATTGATGTTCTCAATCGTCTTTTGGACCAATCTTCTCAACCAACTTCTTGTACTCATCTACCAGGAACTGATTTTTGTCAAT